GAACATTCAGTAGCATATAAACCAAGGTGTGGCCTATGAGCATGGAAGGTGACCTCAGTGCAAGATTCTTAATGTGTTGCCCACAGGAACTGTGCATAACATTGTAGGCTGTACTGCAGCACAAGCATCAGATTAAATGTACTCTGAATTGCCAATCACTTAACGTCAAACTTCAGTTCTTTCCTTTTTGAAATTTCGGGTTAGATTTTACTTGTCAGTCAGACCAAAATTCTGAGCATGGATCCCTCCCATTTCCTCAGGCAGCACTTAATGCATGAACAAGGCTAGTTCATGAGGTAGCAAACTGGATAAATGCATTATGAACAAGCAGTGCACTGAAATTCAAAGCTCAGTCAGAGCATGAGTGAGGAGGATCTAAGGAAGCAGATTAAAGGGAGTGGGATATGGGTGAGACAGGAGCTGTCAAGAAAATAAAAGAGCAGCAAGTGCAAAAAGAAGCACTGCTGTGCTCTAGCCAGTGTTCACTTCATGAAAATAGCAAAACTCGGGCAAATTATTGAGTGCACACACTCAGGTGCTCAGAGTTCAGCCAAGGCTTGTGTTATGATGAGAGAAGCAGCAATCACAAACATACTGGTAATAGAAAATAAAAGAGAAATGAATTTTGGGGTTAGATTAAGTGTGAGAAAAACTGGGAAAAGCTTTTTAAAAGTTTGCAGTTGACAGAGTTCAGAAAAAGAGCACAATTTCATGTGGCTACTTCCATTTCCTTCCTTTCTTTGCTCAGATTGCTAAGTGAATGATTTTACAGTGAATCTCTTGCTGCTGTTGGAACTTCTGCACAGGAACAGGGACAATGTGTAACAAATGATGAACAATTTTATTTTTGTATTTCCAAGTACATTTCCTCCTTCCTGAGTGTAGGTTAAGATGAACTGAATTATTTGCTTTGGGGATACTATGCTTTTAAGTGTCTTTATCATGTTACTATTTTAAATGCCATAAGAAGACAATAATTTGTTCTGCGTGTTAACCACAACCAATGTTTCTCAATGAGCATTAAATGAATTTATAAAATGTAAATATAAAATAGCTTTATGCACACGTAGTACTAATTTGCCTATGCTTTTTATATAGATACAGAGACTCATTTAATTTTTTGCATTTTTTACAGCCTTTGTATCTTTAACAGCTTCTAGTTACAGCCAAATGCTTCAGTTTACTTTGTTTGTTTGTTTTAAAGGTGTTTAAATGATTCTTCTGTTTTTACAAGCTCTGTTGATTTGCTACTGAGCCCAGATGCAGCTTAGTCTGGAGTTTTGGTTCATATTGTACCTCAAGTGTTGAAGTTGTTACTGACAACTCATCACATTTTATTAGTAGTAGTAATAATGATATTTTAGGACAGGAATGCCTGGGGATAAAGGAAGAGTGAAATCCCTGCAATTTTCTGTTCCAGAAACATTAATAGGACAGCTCCTTCTGCCGTATGTGCTAAGTCTGCTGAGCATGCACAGAGAACCTGCGGCTTTGAAGAAACAACTGTGTTAACAGCATACGTGTGAAACATTTCCTTGCACATAGGCAATAGACTATCTGTTGAAAGCCAAGAGCACAACTGCAAGACAGTTGTTCAGTGGAGGATCATGAAAACTCATGCATAGCCTGGAAGCAGAAAATGCAATGCACATGTGCAGAGATGAACTGTTGCACATGCCCAAGATGGTTGGTGCTCAGGACATAGCAGCACTTGTCCATGGGTGCCTGAGACTTCTCTCAGAAGGCAGCTGGCTGCTGGCTGCTCTTGCACCTTCTTCCAGGACAGTTCCTGTAAGTGTCTTCAGATAAAATGGGACCAGCACCCAAGTAAGCAATCCTGCCTCATACAAAAGAGAATAGATCAATTTATTTCATTTTCCCACTAATGACTATATAATTGACATAGGCAGAAAATATACAGAAAGTGGAATGGAAACAAGTTTTAATTCATAAGTAAAGTAAACTGTAAGGGAAATTTTGATCAAGAACAAATGTTTGAAACTGCCTTTGCTAGTGTATAGTAACATATTTGTTCATGAATTAGTTCCTGCTAACTGACAACCAATTAATGGATCAATCTATAGCCTGTAAAAATCTCAACAATCTATCCAGCAATTAAGAGAGATGTATTGTATTAAGCTGCTTTGATTAAGTGGGATGTCAGCAACATTTACTCCAAAATTATGCAGTACCTAGATAGAGGGTTTCACATAATGCTGTACTAAGATTGCATTAAGTCATTGTATATGTATTTTTTTCTCTCACAACTGCAAACATATGTGGTAAATTATTTCAATTCATTTTTTTCCCATTAACTTTTATCTTAAGAAAATTAAATACATGATTGTTTTCTATTTTTTCATCCAAATAAGCAAGAGTGATCATGATATAAATAATAGGAGCAGTTTAGCATTTCAGTCAACACTTGAACCATTAGAAACATTTGAACAGCTATGTTAAAACATTATTTTCTCAAAACATTTTTGCCAGTGGTCATTCAGTATCTTTTTTCTCTAATAGAAAGCAGAAAAGGGAAGATATTGAGCTTAGCAGAAGCTTGCCAATGAGTATGTTATTATGCATCATTAAAACATATAAGTTAGCAAAAAGGCAATTAACATCCAAAACAGAATTGTAGTCCCTTTCAGAAACAAACTGCATTTATTTCTGTTCATTGTCAATGATATTGAGTTCAGTTGCACAAAACAATCAAATGGAAATGCTGTGTTACTGATACTTAAGTGACGTAATCTACTGTAGGGAAGGGGGTTGACTGTAGTGCTTCAAATAATGCATATTAGCTTGTACCTCTGCAATGAACTTTCTGGTTGCTCAGCTTTATCTCTTGTATCCACAATATTAAACTGTATCCTGACCATTCATAGAATACTTGGCAAACAGAAGGAAAATGTAATAAAAACATATTGTTATATATTTGTTCCAGCATGAAAATCTAGTATTACTAAAGATTCTCATTATACAGCATTTTGAGATCTACAGATGACCAATGCTATCCGAAGCACTCTTTCTATGCTGGCAGTATTTTATCTTATTTGGAAATCCCAGCCTTTGTGTGCCAGCTCAACTCACAAATAATGAAGGAATATTCTCATCTTTTTTACGCTGGGTATCTAAAAACAAGGTTTTGAAGACACTAAAAAATCTTGCTGCCCAGTTTCTTTGCACAGTGGCTGATGAAAACAGACAGCTTCAAGAGATTTTGAATGAAGTAGGTGACATGAACATCCTGTTTCAAATATTTTACATTTTCCTGGGCCCTGAAAGGGCTCAACTGAAGTCAAGGAGTAGATAAATGTGAATGGAATTAAGAAAGGAGAGTTAAGGCTCTTGCACTTCAAGAGAAGAGCTCGTGCTCTTCAACATCTTCATCAGTGACAGACGATGGCGTTGAGTGCACCCTCAGCAAGTCTGCAGATGACACCAAGATGAGCGGTGCAGCTGATACACTGGAAGGAAGGGAAGCCATCCAGAGGGACCTGGACAGGCTGGAGGGGTGGGCCCATGAAAACCTAATGAGGTTCAACAAGGCCAAGTGCAGGGTGATGCACTTGGGTCAGGGCAATCCCAGGTATTTATGCAAACTGGGGGAATATCTCCTTGAGAGCAGCCCTGCAGAGAAGGACTTGGGGGTCCTGGTAGATGGGAAGCTGGACATGAGCCAGCAGTGTGCGCTTGCAGCTTGGAAGGCCAACTGTGTTCTGGGCTGCATTAAAAAAGGGGTGGCCAGCAGCGAGAGAAAGGTGATTGTCCCCCTCTACTCGGCTCTTGTGAGGCCCCATCTGCAGTACTTTGTCCAGGCGTGAGGCCCCCAGTACAGGAAGGATGTAAAGCTCTGGGAATGGGTCCAGAGGAGGGCCGCTAAGATGATCAGAGGGCTGGAGCACCTCTCCTATGAGGAAAGATTGAGGGAACTGGACTTGTTTAGCTTGGAGAAGAGAAGGCTCTGGGGAGACCTCATTGTGACCTTCCAGTACTTGAAGGGAACATATAAACAGGAGGGAGAATGGCGTTTACAAGGGTGGATTGTGATAAGGCAAGGGGGAATGGTTTTAAACTGAGAAAGGGGAGGTTTAGGTTAGATATTAGGAGGAAGTGTTTCACCGAGAAGGTGGTGACACACTGGAACACATTGCCCAAGGAGGTTGTGGATGCCCCATCCCTGGAGGCATTCAAGGCCAGGATGGATGTGTCTCAGGGCAGCCTGGTCTTGTGGTTGGTGACCCTGCCAATAATTGGGGGGTTGAAACTCGATGATCATTGTGGTCCTTTTCAACCAAGGCCATTCTATGATTCTATGATTAATCTCCAGCCTAAACATGGATTTCTAACTCCTCTTGCTTATTCTCCATGCTGCATGCATCGGTGTACAGGCATTTCAGGGAGCGAGCTAAGTATGCCCGTTTCACCCTAGTGGAGTGGGAGGCTAACTGGCCTTGATCAATACTAGAGGGCTGCCCCACCAGTGCAAGTCCAGCTACAACCCCATCCCCCTTCTCATCTCATTTATAGCTCTCAGAATGAGCCCTGCTTATTCCTGTCCCAGAACCCTTTTGCCTCCGTGACATAAACCTTTCCCATGCATTACTATCAGGTCTGGTGACTTACAAAACCAGCCACTATCAAAGAACCCAAAGCCCTGTCTGTAGCACCAGTCTCATAGCCAGACATCTGTGCACTGGCAGAGGCTCAAGCCCTGCCAGACAGGTTGCAGCCAGCAAGGCACACACACCAACACCGTTTGCTCACCTTGCGTGCTCTGTGAGTGGCAGCTAGCTTCTGCTCTCCCTGAGGCTACTTAGGCCTGGTAGCCTGGCCCAGGGTGGGCAGTGCTGGCTCCATCCATGTGAGCTCGGCAGCCTGCTCACAAGCTGCCAGCCCCCTGGCACAGGCAAACCACTTTTTCTGGCTTCAAGAAGCCCCCAGAAGAGCATTTCATCAGCCCTTTTTGCCTCAGATCCCTTCCCCAGTGCAGTCTTAGATGCTCTGAAACTGTTCTTTGCAGAGAGAGCTTGCTCTTATTGCTAAAAGTCAAGAAATGAGGATAACAATTCTCTGAAGGCTAGCATGACTTTTATTAAATTATCTTTTTCAAAATCTGAAAGATCTCAATCTGAAATGGTATGATGCAAATGACGATCTTAGTTCTCTATTAATATGTCAACATTAAAACCATAACAATGAAGGCAGAGTCTAGGCACTGGCAGGTTTCAGTTCTGTGGTCTCCTTTTCTCCAGGCCTGAAGCTGGTCCTGGTGTTGGTCCTGCAGCTGCTCAGGCTTCCATCTAGACTCTGGGAAGTGCTGGGGAGGCAATACAATACTCAGAAGGCCTCTTGGCCTTGCTCTTCCACCAGCATTTCTCCTCCTCTGTTTGAAGGATGTTCTCATGCGCGTTCGTCCCTTTCATGGTGGCAGCATGCAGGAAGAGGTTACAGGCAGTTGCTCTTCAGTTCCGCCACCTGACTTGTAGCAATCATTCTTAGTGTTGGGCCATTTTAGGGACACCAGGAGCTGCCAGTAGAGACTTTCCGTAGCGAGCATTTCCGATTTCTCTGTGCTCCTCACTGAAGCCAGAGTTGAAGGGCTGGCGGGCTTCAGCTTTGCCATCTGCTTTTCTCCCCAGGCTCAAAGCTGGTCCTCGGGATGGTCTTGCAGCTGCTCCTGCTTTCCTGTGCACTTTGGGAAGTGCTGGGGAGTGCATACGCCAAAAAAGCCTCTTGGTCTCGTAGTCCCACCAGCGTTTTCTCTCCTCTGTGTGAACGAGGCCCTCCTGGAAGACCGTCCCTTTCACTGGTGGCTTTGTGAAGTTGGAGATCTCAGGTGGCAGGTCTTCAACTCCACCGCCTCGCCTAGGACGCTGACTGAGCGTCCTGGGGATCCCACGTGCCACCAGAACCTGCGGGCGCTGGTCCTGTCTGGGAAGCCTGCCGGGTTTCCCCACAGAGCTCATTGTACCAGTGGCAGAGTCCATGTGAAGAGAGGGGCATGCACTGCGCAGCAACAAAGGCCGGGTCTTTCCTGGCTGGAAGGGATGGGGCAGGATGGGATTGCCCTTCCATCCTGATGCTTGCTGCTGGGAGCAATGTGGCCTGCACCGGGGGCTCCTGTGCCTGCCTGCCTGCCTCTCAGCACCTGTAAAAAAGGGAGCAGGTCTGAGCCACAGTCGGGCAGGGGGCACCGGGGATCTTCCAGGCCCACTCAGTCTGGCTGCTACACAACAGAGACTGGTACGAAGCTTGGCTTCTCCCGGGGGGCTGGCCCTGCCTGCGAATGTGCCAGGCTGACCTTCAGGGGACTCACCTGACTTCGATGCCATCACTTGCAGCCACCACATCCACCATTGTTGGCGCCGGTCAGAACCCTACGGGCACATGAATGTGGCACAGTTCATGAGGACTTGCGGGGCAGCCCTCATCCCCCCACACCCAAAGCCCTGAGTCACCTAGCCTCAAGTGACTCCCACCCTCAAATTTCCCTACCTGTCGGCGCCAGGAAGCAGTGAGCAGAGACACCCCAGCCACCAGGAGCAGGAGGCTGGGGATAAGGAGAAAGCTGTCGACAACCATCGCTCTAAGCTGGTCACGACCGCACTGGGAGAGACAAAGTGCTGGCGCTGGCTTACATGGGCAGAGCCATGAGATCATAGTCCAGCAGGTGGGGATAACTCTGTGACGTCACAACCCCCAGCCCGTATGGAAGTAGGCTGGCAGTAGCCCCCAGCATGGGGGTGGGGGGATTTATGGACATAACTTGTGTATAATATTAAAGTACATGCAATTAGAACTTTAACAACAAGTGAACACATGTACCAGCTTGGGGACCATCCCTGAGGTGTTCTGCATGCCATCCTTACTTCAAACACCTGAGTTAGGCACAAGTTAGAATGGGAAAGTGGTTTTAGTTTGCTTTTAGTTCTCACTATCCCAATTCTTTTTTAATGGGTGATTAAATGAATCTTCTTCGAGCTGGATGAATCTTCTTCAAACTGAAATTGCTTTTTGCATTGTGTGATTCTATCATTCTATGATTCTAAGGGAAAATAAATGCAGAAATAATGAAGAAAGTGGGATGAGTATAAGAGACTGAAAATAAAATAAAATACAGTTTTTAACTGTTTTTTTTTTTTTTTTTTGAAATTCGTAATATGATGTCTCATTTATTGCAAGTCTTTTTAATCTGTTATTTGAAATTGAATATTTTAAAAAAATCACTCTCTTGATAGCTTGAGTTTGCATCTAGGTAATTTAGCAGTAATAATCCAAACTGTGGATATAAACCGTGAAATTCTTTTCCTCATTGATTAACCTGGATAGGATTATTATCTAATGAGTAGGGAAATTCCTCAAGATATGGCTATATTATTCACAAGCTTTCAGAACATACTAACAACTGGCCTGTTCCTATTTGTTAAAGGAAAAGAACAAAATCTTGTTATAGTTACTCCTCTCTGTCAAGTCTTCACTCAGACGTGGAAGGCAATTGCTGGAAGAACCTTTGTGGACTTCTGTCTCATAAGCAGGATACAGAAAGTGTAAGTCTATCATATATGACTCATCCTGCAAAGCAGAAACTGGCACACAAATTGCTGATGTTAGTGAAAGAGGTAGAGAAAAAGGGTCTCTTTCTGCTGCATGGTCATGTAAATCTACTAGGTGCGGTTTGCCCAAGTTCAGTTCTACCAGATTGAAATTTTACGGAGGATAAATTAAAAGTAGCTCCCTCTGTAGTCCTATTCATGGACTTTAGGAACTTCTGGGTGACCACAGAAAAACATTTCAAGGCCTTGACAGAGTGTATCAGGAAGTAACTTCTCAATCTAAAAGCATTCATTCTTGATGCTCATTGAAGTATTATTTAATTGTGTAAGAAATTACTGAAATGTCAGTAGATATATTTTGCTATTGAAGCAGTATCTCAGAATCTGGGTTTCAGTGCAGGCTTCAGCTGAATTTGTCTGCTTTGGAAGAAGGCCTTGCTAGTCATGGATTTTTACACAAGGAAAACCCAAGCTTGCAGAGGCTGCAAAACTGGATAACTGCAGAACTGAAATTGAAGGCTAAGTCACATAGTAGTAGATAGACAACCAGTCTTGATCTCCAGTCTTTTATGTTTGTATAGAAGTTGATATGTAGCTTTCATCATGAGACTGGTATTATGAAGGAATTTTGACTCAGAACATCAGAGCTGTATTAAGGCTACTTCACAGGAAGAACAGTGGCAAGCAGTCATGTGCACTGTTAAATTTTTAGCATGCTGCTTGTCACAGTTCTGATTCATGCCATCCTTCCAGACAGTATATAAATACAGTTCAACTGGCATGAACCAAAAACTTCTTACATTAGTCAGTATTAATGTGACTGTGTTTGTTTTTTTTTGGGGGGGGGGGGGGAGGAAGGATGTTGGATGCAATCTGTGTCATTGTACTTAAAACACAGTAAACAAACAAACAAAAAATATAAATGAATACCTAATATAATTTTTTTAAAGGAAAGAAATGAAGGTATACTCTCTCAATCTGGTCACTAATATAGTGATAACCCCTCTAGCTCTGGTTAAGTTTTTGCTGTGTATTTGGCTATCTAGCTCAGTTAACTGTCTGTGTGGGGAGAGAAGTGTCAAACTACCAGCCTTCTCAGAGGAAATTACCTAGAAAGCTAGGCCATGGCTAAATTAGTCTAAGTGATAAATGTGGAAATATACTACTTTTCTGGAAATACTACTTTTCTGAAAGAGAGGCCTGGCACTGGAATGGGCTGCCCAGGGACGTGGTGGAGTCACCGACGCTGGAGGTGTTCAAGGAACGTTTGGATTTTGTGTTGAGGGATATGGTTTAGTGAGAACTATTGGTGATAGGTGGATGCTTGGACTGGATTCTTTTGTAGGTCTTTTCCAAACTCGGTGTTTCTGTGATTCTGTGATAATAGGAGCAAAGGACTCACTACCCACTGGTAAGCAAAAATCCACCTTTACAGGAATGAAAGAATACGTAAAGATGCAATCCAGCACAATCCATAGTGAGGTAAGAATAGAAAGAAGAAAACATTTTCATAATGAATTATCACCATATTAGCTTGCAAATATATTTTTCTAAAATAAAACTGAGTTGATTCTCTTTTCCTTAGGTCTCTTTAGCTAGAACGGTTTTATTTAGTTAGAAGTTATAGATTTAAAATACAGAATTAATGTCTATTCTTTACGTTCTGAATTAGAGCTTTAACTAAATCAAAATGTTACATGAAGTTGTTATTACACTTCTTTCCCAGTAATGATGACGTTGATAATAATATTATTTAATTCAAAGTTTTCATTATTTGTTTTTTGTTGTTGTTGTTTTCTTTGTTTCTTTGTTTTTTAATTACAACTTTGGAATCGTTTGTTTTCATGCTAATAAATTAATTTTCTCTGTTGACTAACTCAGAGAGTTTCTTTACAAATTTGAGTGTATATAAAAACAAATTTCAGCTATAGTTTATTCTCATGATTGCTGCTGTTTTTAAGTTTAGATCTCCTACGTTTGTTCTTATTTTCTGGTAATCATCATGTTAATAATATGCACAACCTGTAATAATAATCTGTTTTCACTGGTGTTGGATTTGAAGGTCATTCCCACAATTATTGACAAAATGCTCATGACTTACTTAACTATCAGCTAAAGATTTGTGGTCCCCACTGATCATTCTGGCAGATGTGAATGTCAAGACAAGATGCTGAATCCACATTCATCTTGCTTTTCTCAACAGATGTCTGATCTTCTCTCATGTATCGTAATGGATTGCATTTGTTTCTTCAAGACCTTTAAAAGTTGTATTTACAGGTGAAATTTCATAGTGACAAAGGCCTTGCTTTGTTTTCTTATAATTCATACTCACAATGACTACAAGGGCTGCTCCAAAAGTAATGCCTCCTATTTTATTATGTTGGCACACAACATCACAGGTATATGTTGGTGGTATGGCAGTAGAGGTTGAACCTTTCCACAACATCCTGTTACATTTTGTTGCCTTGTGACAGATGGCAGCAGAAGAGCAGTCTGACAAAACAATGTCTGACATGGAAATACATGTGAAGGAAAGGTATGTCACTGAATTCCACAATGTGGAAAAAACTGCACCCACTGGCACTCATAAGTGCTTGCTGAACATTTCTGTAGACCAAACAGTGGATATGAGCACAGTGAGGTGGTGGGTGATGTGTTTCAGCAACGAAACCATGATAGCAAATGTGAAACGTTAGCCTTGAAAAAAGAAGACTGAGAGGGGACCTGAACCATATCTATGAATATCTAAGGTGTAGGGGGGCAGAGTGGCAAGGCCAGACTCTTTTTAGCAGTGTGTGGAGATAGGACAAGGGTAAATGGCCAGAAACTGCAGCATAGGAATTACCACACAAATGTGCACGAGAACTTCTTTACGGTGAGGGTGACGGAGCACTGGAACAGGCTGCCCAGGGAGGTTATGGAGTCTCCTTCTCTGGAGATGTTCAAGACCTACCTGGACAACTTGTGTGACCTGGTGTAGGGAACCTGCTTTGGCAGGGAGGTTGGACTCAATGATTTCTGGAGGTCCCTTCCAACCCCTACGATTCTGTGATTCTGTGATTCTGTGAAACAGTGGGTCATTTCTACTGGTACAGATTTTTACAAACATGGCATGTGGGCTCTTGTTCATTGCTAGTAAAAATGCACAGCTAATGATTGTGATTATGTTGAAAAAATGGTGTTTTGTAGCTGAGAATTTATTCTATCAAATAGTGTTATTGTGCTCTTTGTATCTGCTGTAGTTTCCATGGAAATAAATAGGAGGAATTACTTTCAGAGGGACCTACATATTGTCACGGAATTAACTGGATCAGTTTATGCCCGTGACAGGGGGCAGTATGCCCCTGCCCTCCCCACCCCCCACCTGGGCCCACAAAATGGGAAGGAAGGGGGAAAAGGAAAGAAACAGCGGCAACAATCTATGGAGGTAAACTTATTTTACTAACTATGATATCGGAATACAAAATAATACAATATAATACAATCTAATTGAAATTGAGACTAATGAATGAAATAAGATATGAGAGAGAGTTCCCGAGACCGAGTCAAACCTGAAAAAGCTTGGAACGGCTAGGAAAGCACCCTCCAGCACCCACTGCCAGGCAGTAAGAGACCGCCCCCCCCGGAAGGGTCAGATCCCGTGACTTCCGCAATGTATAGGGATAGGTACGTAGAGTTAGAACATTAACACTTCCAGTACACGATGTTTTGATGTTGAATACTGAAAGTCAAATAAGCAAAAACCAAAACCATGACACATATTTAGGTGCTGAGTGAACCTAGCGAGATCCTGAGCAACATCAGTTCTCATAGAAGCTAGTGATATTAAGGGGAGTTTACTACCAAGGAGACCTTTAGTATTTCAAAGTTAGTTAATCCATTTGTCTTGCAAAATAAATGGATAAGACTGGTGAGGAAAGCGTCTTACCTGCGGCTCCCCTGAGGTACATCTGTACTGCAGTCACAGAACTGCAGGCTGGTTTTCTTGGCACAGAGCTCTGCAGGGTTTCAAAGCCTGTCCCAGAGAGAGAACAGCCACTGCCAGCAGGTTTGATAAGTTAGGCATGTGACAGAGTTTTCAGAAAACATCTGCCAAGTCCAATCATGGGTAGATGATAGTTTATGAATCTGACAAAGCACAGTCATGAACTGAACACATGTTTGTGCTATAGCCTGCAGGGACTTGAGCAGCTCTGAGCATATGTGGAAGTTAAAAATCCACAGCATGGGTCAGAAAAAAATTCTTAGGTATTTAATCTTAAAATCCCTTATGTACTCTGTATTGTCCTGGCCTGCTGCCGTAGTCCCAGATAGAAAACTAGGCCTGTATTCATAATTCCTAGTCTTAGGCACAATGCTAGAACCTCAGTTGTATCCCTGAGCATCCAGATAAGATCCCTTTAAAGTGTGCGACAGATATCCTCTGGGACTGGAGGAGTAAGACTTGATGCAGCAAAGCTGGGACTCCTGCACGCCACACCCATGCATCTGGCTGTACTTGGGCAGCTAAGAGCTAGAAATTAGAATATGGATGTGTGCCAAATTCACGTAGCTGTATGTCTTTAGCTGCCAGTTGGCTGGCACAAAATCCACGTTATGACCCAAAGAATGGGTGCCAAACCCATGCAATAAAGTTCCATTGAATAGACACACAAGTATCCATTGAGTATGGACCATCTGGGTCTGTTCAGCCTTGAGAAAAGAAGACTGAGAGGGGACCTGATCCAGGTGTGAGGGGCAGAGTGGTGAGGCCAGACTGTTTTCAGCGGTATGTGGAGACAGGACAAGGGGAAATGGCCAGAAACTGCAGCATAGGAAGTTCCGTACAAATGTGTGCAAGAACGTCTTTACTGTGAGGGTGACGGAGCACTGGAACAGGCTGCCCAGGGAGGTTTTGGAGTCTCCTTCTCTGGAGATGTTCAAGACCCGCCTGGACACCTACTTGTGCGACCTGGTGTAGGGAACCTGCTTTGGCAGGGGGGTTGGACTCAGTGATCTCTGGAGGTCCCTTCCAACTCCTATGATTCTGTGATTCTGTGATTTTCAGCCATTTAGGACTGTACTCATGTCACCATTTGTCAAGGTTGTTTGTGAAGGGAAAGCAGATAGGACCCCCAAGCTACCTACATGCTTTTAAAGGTTTTGGCCTTTGGACACCATAGAGCATTTGTGTGGTCATGCCCAATGTAGTGTTGCTTGTTGGTTAAATAGCAGATGTTAGCCTCCAAAACTGCCAGATTGACTACTGTCATGAATACTAACAGATACCATAAAATATGAAATCCATTCACAGATGGCCTTGTTCTAGAGGAAATAAACATTAATTTTATGTTTATATCAGAGACAGTGAGCTGAATTTTCTTCACTCCCTTCTTAGTGGCTTAAAGGCAGCCACTTCTGCCAAACAAAACTGTGTGAGATCCAGGACCTCAGTGTTTTATGGGCTGGTGTGGCAGACGAAACAGATTTAACCACTGCTTCCCCTCCCCCTGATTTCCCAGGAGCTGGGGAGCTTGCTCAGGATCCCCATCAGAATTCCATTCAAACCATCTCATCTTTTATATCATCAGCCTGACAAGCTGTTGGTTTCAAAAACAAGGTAAGACTTGGTCATAGCTGAGATGGTAGTTTACAAGGAGTACCAACCATTTCAACTATTAAGACACCAGTATTTTGCCAGAGGTATTCCCCTCTTCTTGCTCTGTGCCCCAAACCTTTCCTGACAGTCTGGCCTCAGGTCAGGTGTGTGTAGCACCAAGTTCTCTAAGACTTCAGACTTGATCAACAATGAATTGATTTTGTTTTCAGCTTGTATAGAGATGACCATCAGTTCTCCTAGACAATGTCTAGGACTTGTGCTAACTAATTTTTCTCTGATTTTGTCACTGTAAGGCACTTCAACTCTTTAATACTGATGTGGCTGCATGATAACAGCAAAGAAGATAAACTACCTTAAAAATAGGCAATAAGCCTTTTAGCTCTTAAGAGCAAATCAAAGCTACTCTGAGCAGCCTACAGAGGTAAAAATGGCTGTTTATCTTCATTTACAGCTACTGTGGGGAGGCACCAGCATGTAAATTCATCAGCCCAGGGGCAACAGCTGAAATAATTCTGGAGTCATAGTTTGCTATAGGGAATGGAGAAACTCTCTCCTCACGTCTGCCAACTCATCTCATCATGTACCAGGTGTTGCTTCTGGAGCCACCTAGAGATTTTTAGTTAAGGAGTGCTGGTCACTGTAGGCGATGGCATCCCCTGCTGCTGTGACTAATGCTAAGCTGAAACAGTAACAACACAGAAAGAATTATTCAAATGCATACAGAACTGCCAACCAAATCTTTAGACTCCTGGAGTGCAAGGTGTCCCTCCTAGCACAGGGCAGGTGAGGGAATCATCTGTCTGCGTACAACACGTCTTAAAGGAGAACTTAAATTACTTCCTTTTTTATTTCTCACAAGAAGTAAGTAAGACTTTTTTTTTTTTTTTTTTTTTTTTTTGTAATGTGAAGAGCAGAGTTTCCTTATTGAAACTTACCCAGTGGTTAGTGGGCATCTGAGGTTTGCCCAGAGAGCTAATTCTCATCTTGCCCTGCAAGTGAGGCACACTTGATTATCAAAAGGGAGTACAACATACACGAACAAAAGGCAAGCAGAAAGCACAGAAACCTTAGCAGAAGCTCAAGGGTCAGCTGAATGTACCATCATTGTCTCCCTGAGGAGGCATGATGGAGCAATATGTCTGGAATCATGAACCCAAACTCTTTATTACATTCACTTTATTTGATATACCTGCATGGTGGCAAAGGGAAATCTGACACAGATGTGAGAGATGAAAAATAATTATAAACACATTTTTATCACAGAATCACAGAATGGCCAGGGTTGGAAGGGACCTCAAGGATCATGAATCTCCAACCCCCCTGCCACATGCAGGGCCACCAACCTCCACATTCAATACTAGACTAGGCTGCCCAGGGCCGCATCCAATCTGGCCTCGAACACCTCCAGGGACGGGGCATCCACAACCTTTCTGGGCAGCCTGTTCCAGCAGCTCACCACTCTGTCTGTAAAGAATTTCCCCTTAAATCCAACTTAAATCTCCCCTCCCTCCACTTAAAACCATTTCCCCTTGTCCTGCAGTTATCAACCCTTCGAAAGAGTTAATTCTCCTCCTGTTTGTAGGCTCCCTTTAGGTACTGAAAGGCTGCAATGAGGCACCCTGCAGCCTTCTTTTCTCCAGGCTGAACAAGCCCAGCTCCCTCAGCCTGTCTTTATAGGAGAGGTGCTCCAGTCCCCTGATCATCTTTGTGGCTCTCCTCTGGACCCTCTCCAACAGCTCTGTCTTTCTTGTACTGGGGGCTCCAAACCTGGATCATTTGTTTGGTCTCAATTTTGCTTCTTTGCTCCCAAATGCTAATAGAGTAATCCCTGTGATTTACAGAAAATGATGAGTAGAAACTTTACAGCAAAGTTTTGTTA